ATCTATCTCTTTAAATATGCATTGAAGCAATGCATTTGTTTATTACCACGGTACAAAACGTATTTATCGTGATGGAGATTGAGTCATAACACCAGTTTTCAATAATAATGTATAACAATACCTATACATATAAAATGAAAGGATTTAAAAATACGAATGTTTCTTTTTTATACATAAAACAAACTTCTACTGTCCTTACTGTGGTGAACCCTCCCAGCGGTTTCGCCAATTTAATCCACCAGACCGCTTCTTAGAGCTCTAATACTGTATTGGATCATTCTGTTTATATACGCAGCACTGAAGGGTGGAATCTCAGAAATGGTTTTCAAGAAAACTATGGATATAAGCTTATAGGGTGTTGAATTAAAGAGGTTCGACTGTATTTGGTTTATTACACCAGTATAATAACCCGCCCAGAAATCCTCTACATGGTGGGTGGGAGAAGCAGCACAAGTAAGGGACTGCCCTGTAGTACGGTGTCGTGAACCCCGAGTCGCTACGGTAACCGTGAACAGGGAACTCTGAAATGTGGCTGACTAACGGGGCAATGGCACCCCCCTTTCCAAGTTGCCCGGCCATCCTTGCAGCAATCTATATGGCAGACATCAATCCGGAAGAGGACATCCATGCACCACCTCAGTTGGCCAGGTATTGTGATCAGGGTACAAGGACCGATTGCTCTTCCGCAAACATATTTTTCATCGCAGTAAGGACAGTAGAAGTTTGTATTGTGTATAAAAGAAACATTCGTGTTTTTAAATCCTTTCACTTTATACGTATAGATAGCGGGTTATTGCTTTGTGTTAATACCTATATTAACATAACATTAACATTTTCAAGTATCAAAAGTGGTACCTCTCTCTTTAAATATGCATTGAAGAACCTCGTTAATTCGACACTCTACCTTAATTCGACCATATTCTGATGTCCCGACCTCCGGCCTATCAAATAACAAACCGTAATTCGACAGTATCGATAATACGACAGTTCCGATAGTTCGACCATTTAAAAATTCGAATTTCGACAGTTGAATGTTTTTTTACATACAACTTTACCGCTAAACGGTATTACGGCGGCGACGACCGGCATCGGCGGGCGCCGATAGGATCGCGCCTGCGCACTTTTGGTTTCTATTAGTTTAAGTTTCACTTTGCAGTGCCGTTGCGCAATGTCGCGAAGGTTATTGTTTTTTTTTTTTTTTTTACGCGGGAATTTAGGCTTTGTGCGCTAATTAAAAATATTATTTTCTTTTTAATTTTCAGCATTGAAATATTTTAGTTATTTTTAAAAATTTACAAATAATATATTTTTAAATAAATAAATCTTCATAAAATGTAGCCACAATTATTATGATAACATTTTATTTCAATATTCCATTTCCATGTTATTATAAAAGATTTAAACACAAAATCAATAACACCTACAGCAGCAGTGGATGCCTTTAATACAATAAAAGCTCTTTGTTATTTAAAACACATTCCAAAGGAAGAAAGACATGCATGCTTTTTTTTTTTAAATAGACCATCTAGAATACATTTTGAATAGGATTTCAGTGAAAAAGCAGACATCTATAAAGGATTTAAAAAATATATATATATTCATGATTATTTTTAAATGTTATTTTAAAATTTTCTTTTTATTTTCCATATTTATTTCCTTTCAACTGCTATATTCTTCAATTAAAATAAATTTTATTTGTAATTATTTATGTTTCAAAATTGTATTATTGCCATTTTGTCCCTGATACTAAAATTTAATCATCAAAATAAAAAATAAATACAAAAAAGTACATATACAATGGTTTCAATTAATATCATTAATTTATATTACAAAGCAATTTTTTAAAAATATTATTTTCATGACTAATCATCTAACCTTAATTCAACACTTCCTTTAACTCAACCGAAAGCTCTGATCCCTTGGGGTGTTGAATTAAAGAGGTTCGACTGTATTTGGTTTATTACACCAGTATAATAACCCGCCCAGAAATCCTCCTCTACGTGGCGGGCGGGAGAAGCAGCACAAGTAAGGGACTGCCCTGTAGTACAGTGTCGTGAACCCTGAGCCGCTACGGTAACCGTGAACAAGAAACTCTGAAATGTTGCTGACTAACGGGGCAATGGCACCCCCTTTCCAAGTTGCCCGGCCATCCTTGCAGCCCTCTATATGGCAGACATCAATCCGGAAGAGGACATCCATACACCATCTTAGTTGGCCGGTATTGTGATCAGGGTGCATGGACCGATCTGATCTGCTCCATGGACAAGACACCACCTCAGTATAAAAACGTAATGGTAGTGATAAAAATGAGCCACAACACCATTTTTTTTGGCAAATTCAGACAAAAAGCCAACCTGTATACCTGTATGCTTGCATCGAGCTCCTCAAACATATCATCAAAGGCCAGTTAACTTAATTTAAACCTAAACTATCAGAGTGACATACATATACAAAAAATAAAACTATTCAGTGCATTTTTTTCTTTTTTAATAAAAATTTACCAACTGTTCTTAAAGCTTATGTCTATAGCTTCGTTAAACAACCTTATCCCGGGATTACTCAAAGGGGGTCGGTTGAAGGGTGGTCTTAACAGTTGGTTTTCGACCGCTACGATCCGGGTTCGAAACCCGCATTGGGAACTTTTTCTGATAAAAAAAAAAAAATGCTCCAATGGCCCCCGATTCTTGCAAAAGTCCAACCCCACCAGCAAGTGCAAGTAACCAAATGGGGTTCTGTCACATTTGTAAGTGCAAAAGTCGAACTGCTTTTCACATTTGTAGATATGTGGTGCACTTACAGTAAAAGCAGTCGCCTACTTCTACTGGCGATATATGATAAACTGGATGTCCACCATTAGATGTCTAAAGACCGGATTGTTGGTGGTGGCTCCAGGAATTCGGGTTACGCCAAGAGAGAGAGAAAAATAAAAAAGAAAGAGCTAGAGCGATCCCGTTTTTATCGTGATATCGAATTATCAAGACGACAAACAAAACTTTGAACTCGCTATCTTCTGCCACAGTATCTAGTTGAACCACCTTCTCGGCTCTCTCTGTAAGTAAATACCGCTCTCTGTCCACAATATAGTTGTTCTTATATATTGTACATTATTTCTAACCCCGCATTCCTAAACTATCTATATATACATGTTTTCTATACACACACTAGCGGCTCTATATTCAAGTTTTCTATCCACAATAGCGGCTCTATATACATTGTCATATTTACTAGCCACTTTATATCCATTATCTATCCACAATATAGGGTGCAATATAGTCTATTGCATTCTTTCTAACTCCATCCTATACGCTCTCTATATACATGTTTTCTATACCCACTAGCGGCTCTATATGCATTGTCATCTTCACTAGCCGCTTTAAATATTGCTCTCTATTGTACATTCTCTCTAACCTCACCTTATACTCTTTCTCTATATACATGTTTTCTATACCCACTAGCGGCTCTATATGCATTGTCATCTTCACTAGCCGCTTTAAATATTGCTCTCTATTGTACATTCTCTCTAACCTCACCTTATACCCTTTCTATATATACAAGTTTTCTATACACAATAGCGGCTCAATATACATTGTCATCTTCACTAGCTCTTTATCCACATTCTTTATCAACAATATAGTGTGCAATTTGTCTATTGCACATTATTTCGAACCCCATCCTAGACACTCTTTATTAACACGTTTTCTATACACACTAGCAGCTCTATAGGCGTTTTCATCTTCACTAGCCTCATTATATCCGTTCTCTGTCTACAATATAGTCTTTCTCTTTTGCACATTCTTTCTAAACCCTCCTCTTCCTAGACTATATATATATACAAGTTTTCTATACACACACTAGCGGCTCTATATACATTGTTACAGACTTCAATATTCTGCAAAGATACATCCCCTTAATTATTAGAACGGCAACCGATCAGTCCTTGCAGCTGGATTATGTAAGAATAAGAAAATCAGTACTCTACTCTCACTATAAATACTTTCATTCATCACCTACAATGGAATGCTATCTGAATGACAATATCCCCCTAACCTTAAAGAGAATCATTGCAAAAGAAGCCTTTTTGTAGTACAGAGAATTAATCATGTTTCACTATTGAAAACTAAGACCATAAAATGCACCTTATGCAACGGTGAATTTAGTCTCGATTTTCCATACTACATGTTCTACCGTACGGCAATGGAAGAAGAAAGAGAAATTCTTCGTCAAGAGACCGGCTATATAATGGCAATTCGCCTTATGCTTTAATGGCAAAAGTCGTAAAATCCAGACCCTTTGCATTCGCTTTTTATAAATACTGGAAATCAGCTCAATCAAAATATTTAGCACAGACACCGGATCCAACTCGATAATTGGTCGAGGTCAATACCCAACATTTGTATATAACTATGATGCTAATTTGTTATTTATTTACTTTGTCCTACCGGGAGAATCCTGTATGGCACGTGTGCCCAATAAAGGCTATTGTTGTTGTTGTTGCTATATACATTGTCATATTCACTAGCCACTTTATATACGCTCTCTATCCACATTATAGTCGTTCTTATATATTGTACGTTTTCTTTCTCGACTTTCTCTCTAAATACACGTTTTCTACACACACTAGCGGCTCTATATTGTTGCACCAAGTTGCAGCTTTGCAGGGTCGTCGACCTTGGTTTCTCCTTCTTGGTGTTATACACGTTTCCCGAGCGGGTTTCCATACTTAAAGCAAATAGAAGTAAATAAAAATAAATTACCTTTTAAAGTTATTGTGTTTATTTATTCGTTGTCTTCTTCGTAGGTCGTGATCCGCCGTCTTGGTCCTCTCTCACTCGGAACGGAAATATCTTCATTTACGGGGCTATACTAACCAGAATGAATGATTTTTGAGCCCCGAAAAATACGCTCGAACAGGAGCGAAAAAACTGGAGATGCTGCGGATTGAACCCGAGGCCTTTCACATGCGAAGCGAACGCTCTACCACTGAGCTACATCCCCTAAATTGCCGGGACCCGGGATCGAACCAGGGTGGCTAAATGTTCAGTCTAGTGCTCTCCCAACTGAGCTATCCCGACCTTGCTCCAATAAGCAATCAAGATATATCTATATATATAAAAATGAATGTTTGTATGTTTGTCTGTTTGTCTGTTGGTTTGTATGTCCGGTATACAAATTCGCATTAGTTCACTAATTCTAAGCAAAATTTCCATACATAGGTAAAAAAAATACGGGGAAGACGATAGGCTATTTTAAAAATATATAAATCAATTATTAAAACTATATATTTTTAGTCAGAAAATGATTATGACGATATTGCTGTATCATGTTTGATTATCAGATAGAAAATTATATCGGGAGAAATTCCAAAAAGCAGACACAAATTTCAGAGCGGGACGTTTCACAAGAGTGACATCCACGGCGCCAATTTATAATTGTAACGAATAGTATTTGAATAAAAACATTTAATCTGGTAAAACCCGGGCTTTGCCCGGGTCATTCGGCTAGTGTACAATAAAATATTACAAAAGGAATGATAATAATATAAAAAAGCTGTTTTAAATAAATATTAAATATCATAGAATATTTTGAATAAATGTAAGGCGCATTAAAATTGATTTAACAATATACAAGTTTTGTATACACACGCTAGCGGCTCTATATACATTGTCATCTTCACTAGCCGCTTCATATACGCTCTCTATCCACAAAAAGCGCCGTTATTATATTATTCAATTAACATTCGCATCGTGAGTGAGCAAATAGAAATAAGAGCTCTCTCTCTCTCTTTCAAACGATCATATTAACTTTTATATGTTTATTGCTTAAATGAAACTATTTTATTTGATAAAAAAATAAAAAATAAAAAGGTAGTTGTGGGGAAGAGGTGTTCATTATATTTGTTATGAGAATAAAATTTACTCTGTGAAGCAATAAATTGTCTATAAGTTTGTTCGCATTAATCTATATTTATTAGGGATCAAAATATTGGTTCCTCAAATATTGAAACAATTATGTTTATTAAATGAAAGGATTTAAAAGCACGAATGTTTCTTTTTATACATAATACAAACTTCTACTGCCCTTACTGCATACAAAATATATTGGGAGGGCTTGGCTCATTAGTGGTTAAATTTGTATTGTGTATAAAAGAAACATTCGTGCTTTCAAATCCTTTCATTTTATATGTACTGTATAGATGGCGCGTTATTGTTTTGTGACAATTAATTTTATTAAGCTAAAATATTTACACGGTTTTAAGCTGACAGTCGATCTACAGGGTGTACCAGGTAAATTGGGAATTTCAACAATGGTATTTTAACTGATATTTTTTGCAAGTAAAAAATAAAATATCCGAATGAAATTTGACACAGTAGTAGATAAAAGGATATAGTTTTTATTTATTCAATGTAGTTTCCATTATTAGCTACAACAGTCTCGAGGCGAGTGCGGAATGAAGCACAGGCCTTGGCGACGATGACCTTGTCCATTTGGGTCATCACCGTGTGAACTGCTTTCTTGACAGACTGGATGGTGGTATGAGGAGCTTTGTTGACATCTCTCTCAACAACGCCCCATACATAGTAGTCGAGGGGATTGCAATCTGGAGAATTAGGGGGCCAAATATCAGGACCCCAGTGACTAGGGACGTTAAGTGTCAGCCACGATTGTGTCTTTTTTGCCTTATGGGCTGGAGCTGAGTCCTGTTGGAAGACATACTTCCTTCCTGCGGCCACCATGTCCATCCAAGGCTTCACAACGGTCTCCAGAACATTGATGTAGGTGTCAGCGTTCATGCTAAGGCCCTTCTCAAAGAAATGGGGAGGCATGACATCACCTTCACTGCTGATAACGCCAAGGACCATTACGGAGGCAGGAAATTTCGTGTGCATCACGACAGGTATCTCTGAGGGGTCTTTACAGATCCAGCGATCATTCCTGGGATTTACCTTTTGGTCCACGTCAAAGTTCTTTTCGTCAGAGAAGAACCTTAGCATGCCAAAAGAGTCGTGTTTCAGGTTGTTGAGGAGGGCAGCAGCCTTTCCTTTTCTGTTATTCTTCATATTCTCAGTCAGCAACTGACCTTTCCGAAGGGCATAAGACTTGAGACCAAGGTCCTCATGGATAGTTCTGACAATTGTCATAGAGCCAACGTCCATTTCCTTGGCTATGGCCCTCATGCTCTTCCCAGGGTTTCCATCAATCTTCTCCTTGACATTTTTGACAAATTCTTCGCCTCTTACCCTGTCCGATCGACGCGAGTGCTTTTTCCTTGTAGCTATCCCCTCTTTGTTACTGTCGGCCTCATCAAACTGCTTCTTGACACGATAAATAGTGGTTTTGGGCAACTTAAGAAAATCCACTATCTCTTTGGGGCTCCTTCCGGCGCGCAGAGCAACGATGATGGCAGCTCGATTTTCAAATTCTCGGTTACTCTTCATCACTACACTGCGCACACATGTACTGTTGCATTTTACATGAATATGGCTACGTAATGAAAAAAAAAAAGTTTTTAATCTCAAGTAGTTTTTGTTTTATGGACTGTCAAAGTCAGTCCCAATTTACCTGGTACACCCTGTATATACGTTCGTTTAACGAATGAATTAATGTCCTGGTTGATTAACGACAGCGTACTATGTGTTCCTAACTAATAAAGTTCTTAGACGGTTCAAGACGAGATAGAATAATGCATACCTGGTGAATTCCCTTTAGATCTCAAAGTATCTGATTATAATTTAACTGGGAAATGAAACCATTAAGGCACGAATGTTTTTTTTTACACATAAAACAAACTTCTACTGTCCTTACTGCGATGAAAAAACTTAAGATGGCTCTTAGCACATCGATGGGGAACCCTCCTAGCGATTTTCCCCAGTTTTACCTACCAGACCGCTTCTTAGAACTTTAATACTGTATTGGACGATTCTGCTTATATATGCTACACTAAAGGGTGGAATCTTAGAAATGGTATTCAAGTAAACTATGGACATAAGCTTTTAGGGGACAGTAGAATTCCATATAAATATTTGTATCAAGCAATTCTCTTCCATAAACAATAAGGACAAGGCCAGTTAGACATAAATTAATACAAAGCAATAATCTTCATGGAGGTGCAGCCGCTGATCTTCTTGTAGGCCGAGCAGTGGCGCAGGTCCCAGAACTTCACTCCTTCATCCACCGATCCGCTGACCACGAGGTTGACCCCGCTGGACTGTCTCTGCAGAGACACATTGACCACGCGGCTCGAGTGTTCGCGCAGGGTCATTATCCTCGCGTCGTTGGGCGGCAGTCTGCGGTCAAACAGCCGTATGGAGCCGTCCATAAGAAATGAAAACAATAAAATATGAATGTTTCTTTTCACAAATAAATTAAACTTCTGCGATGAAAAATATTGGAAGGGCTTGGCTCATCAGTGTTGAACCCTCCTAGAGGTTTTAATTCGTGTCCTATTAACGATTTTTTGTATCATGTTTTATTTCTTAATAAGGAATTTCTTAATAAGGGCTTCGCCCCGGGATTGACCCGTGTGCATATTTACCCGAGTGATATATATTTAGATAAGATTTTTTTTATAATGGTTTGTTATTAACATTATCTATTTGTTTGCATCAGCATAATTTAATCTAATCTTTGATAATGGGGCGCTGTTCGTGAGCTAAGTAGAATAATTTGAATATATAGTTTTAATAATTGATTTATATATTTTTTTAAAATAGCCTATCGTCTTCCCCGTATTTTTTAAACCTATGTATGGAAATTTTGGTTTGAATTAGTGAACTACTACGAATTTGTATACCGGACATACAAACAAACAAACATACAAACATACAAACATTCATTTATATATATATATATATACAAGGCTTGTAGAAAGGCCTTCATGCCCCGAAATCTAGATTTGATTAAAAATTTTATAAAACACACTTATCCCTGGAAGAGTGATGTTTTCGCCTTAATATTAATATAGAGAAGTAATTTATTGGATTGTTGAGATGTGTAAGATGCCATATGAGAGTTCAAGATATAGGTTTAGGGCTAGGTGGATCAAAGAAGAGTTCTATCGTCTGTTTACAAACCAGATAAACGACCTCAGATTACTGATAACGACAGCTTACATCACCATGTGGGATTGACGACCTAATCGGTTAGAGGCAGTTTTACAAATGATCTATTCTCATAAGATCTCGCAGACGAGAGAGAGAGAGATTGAGATTGAAACTGATTTATTACAATGTACATATAAGATTATATAAGGTTAAATACAGAATAAATATAAATATGAATAAATAAGTTTTTCAAATAAAAGACACTTCGGCAGTTAATCTTTTTATTGTCTCGACGTTTAGACAAAAATCTTTTGTACTCGTCAGGAGCGAACAAAAATTAAAACATTTGAAAAAGTGTTAAAAATTATTCTAAGGCTGCAAGGGCAATGGCGTGAGAACGCGCTTGCAGCCTTAGAATAATTTTTAACGCTTTGTCAAATGTTTTAATTTTTGTTCGCTCCTGACGAGGACAAAAGATTTTTGTCGAAACGTCGAGGTAATAAACAGATTTACTGGCCGAAGTGTCTTTTATTTGAAGAAATATGAATGCCGGCCAGGCAGCCTCTATCTTTACGATGAATAAATAAGATTATATGATGATAAATATATGAATAAATAGAAAAAAAAATCAAATAATTGATGATGTAAGAGAGAGATTGAAACTATTTTATTATATCGTTCGTATAAAGTTATTAAAGGGGTTCAAATACTGATAAAAATAAATAAATATTGTCACGGCAGAGAAGACAAGTATTCCAAAAGTTTACAAATAATTTATTAACAAAATCTATAAACTGCAAAAAAAACGCAATATTTTACAAGTGATAATATACAAGAATGGTAAGGGGTAGTGAAGTAACCAAGTGTAACGGCAGCTGGCATGCCTATATAGTAAATTATCAGTGAGCACATTATTATCACTGATGATACTCTGTGCAGTTGCCTTTTGACTTATTGTAATATATATCACATGTAAACTTATCTGATATAATTTATATTATGTCTGATGTTAGCCTAAACGAAATAAAGAC